AAAGTGTTTTGGATTTGGGAATACCTGCATCATATATACTTAAGGGCTGAGCACCCGAAATCCAACCTCTGCGATGCTCCAATTGGTATTTCGTACACTACTGTGTACTACAAATAGCTATACAGGTTACGTGTCCCTTATCTGAAATGCTTGAGAAGTGAAAGTGATTTGGATTTGGGAAATCCTGCATCATATATACTTCTGGGCTGAGCACCCCAAATCCAAGCTCTGAGATGCTGCTATTGGTATTTCGTGTCCTATTATGTACCCTACCAATAGCTATACAAGTTGGGCCTTATCTGAAATGCTTGAGACCTGAAGTGTTTTGGATTTGGGAATACCTGCATCATATATACTTATGGGCTGAGCATCCAAAATCTAAGCTCTGAGATGCTGCCATGGGTATTTCGTGCCTCATTGTGTATCCTACCAATAGCTATACAGATTGGGAATCCCTTATCTGAAATATTTGAGACCTCACGTGTTTTGGATTTGGGAATACCTGCTTCGTATATACTTATGGGCTGAGCACCCCAAATCCAAGCTGTGAGATGCTCCAATTGGTATTTCGTGCCCTATTGTGTACCCTACCAATAGTTATACAGGTTGGGCATCCCTTATCTGAAATGCTTGAGACCTGAAGTGTTTTGGATTTGCGAAAAGCTGCAGGAGATATACTTACGGGCTAAGCACCCCAAATCCAAGCTCTGAGATGCTCCTATTGGTATTTTCTACTCTATTGCATACCCTACCGAGAGCTATACAGGTTGGGCATCCCTTATCTGAAATGCTTCATACCCGAAGTGCTTTGGATTTGGGAATACCTGAATCATATATACTTATGGGCTGAGCACCCCAAATCCAACCTCTGAGATGATCGAGTTCGTATTTTGTGCCCTATTGTGTACCCTACCAATAGCTATACAGGTTGGGCATCGCTTGTCTGAAATGCTTGAGACCTGAAGTGTTTTGGATTTGGTAAAGCCTGCATCATATATTCTTATGGGCTGAGCACCCCAATTCCAAGCTCTGAGATGCTCCAAATAGCGCTTCCTTTGAGTGTCATGTTGGTGCTCAGAGTTCTGTACTTTGGAGCATTTCGGATCTGGGATGCCCACCCTGTCCCCATACACTCTGCCTCCCTGCCACTGCAGATGAGCTCCAGAAAAACAGTACATATTTGTATCTAAATCCAATCCTTCTACCTTTGTATTAGGCACTGCCTTCAAGTTCACTCAAGGATATTGTTCTGACAATTCAGTTGTCACCTCTAAGGCTCACCATCAGATTTTCCCTCTCTCTGGATCATTTCCATCAGCATACAAATTGGTGGCTACTTCTCCCACCCTAAAAGGTAAAACAAAACAAAAAACCCTCAACCCACTTCACCCTGCCAGCTACACCCTATTTCTCACTTCCCTTTGCAGCAAAATTCCTTAGTTTTGTCTGTATTCACTGTCGCCCAATTCCTTTTTTCCTATTTTAAGCTCATTTTTGCCTTCAGCACTCTAAGGAAACAGGTTGCTGGGGGTCATCAGTGGCACAGCTGAAGCTAGTCCTCTAGCCTCAAGCAGAATATATGACACACCTGGTCACTGCGTCCTCTTTTGTAAAGATCTTAGCTGGGCTTGCAGAACTCTCTCTGTTTTGGACCGTTCTCTTAACTCACTAGTTCATCCTTCTTAATATTGTTTGCTGGTTGATTCTGTTTTCCCTAAACTCTTAATGTCACAGGACACAGTCCTTGGTCCTCTGCTGCCTTCCGTCTACACGCATTCCTTACCAATAACATGTATTGTCATGGTTTAAATACCATTGCTGATGATCCCCAAATTCACACACTAGCATAGAACTTCTCACTCCTGGATCTAGCTGCCTACTCACATCTCTACTGTTACCTTTTGCATCTTGGCTTGAATAACTCCGTACTTACAAGAGCTTGGGCAAAACCTTGGAGGTCATTGTCCACTTCCTCGATCTCACCCTCCATATCCAATTCCTAGTAAATCCTGTAAGGCCTACCTTCAAAATGCATTCAGAACCCAACCATGTGTCACCATCTCTATTGTTAGCACCCTGGCCCGGGCCACTATCACTGTCATCTGGATTACTGCAAAAACCTCCTAAATGATTTCTTCACTCACCCCTACACTCTCATCACAACTCACAGCCAAGGTGATCTTCTAAAACTTTAGTAAGAACACACCTCTCCTCTATTCAAAACCTCCCGTGAAATAATCCAGAACACACTTCTCTTCTACTCAAAACCTCCCGTGGCATCTATTAGTATTTACAATAATCCAGCTACTCATGATCTGACTTTACCTTCTTGTCCCTCCACCCCACAAACTTGCTCATCCCTCTCCAGATATACTGGCTTCCTTGCTATTCCTCAAACACGACAGCCCTAAAAGCCTTTGTAACTGCTTTCCTATCTGCCTGAATGCTCTTCCTGACATTTACTTAGCTAACTCTCTTAATTCCTTCAAGTCTTTGCTCAAATAACACCTACTAAATGAGGCTTACACGGACCACCACCATTGTTCACACCTCCACTCTGGAACTTTCCCATTTTTTTTTTTTGAGACGCAGTTTCGCTCTTGTTACCCAGGCTGGAGTGCAATGGCACGATCTCGGCTCACCGCAGCCTCCGCCTCCTGGGTTCAGGCAATTCTCCTGCCTCAGCCTCCCGAGTAGCTAGGATTACAGGCACGCGCCACCATGCCCAGCTAATTTTTTGTATTTTTTAGTAGAGACGGGGTTTCACCATGTTGACCAGGATGGTCTCGATCCCTTGACCTCGTGATCCACCCGCCTCGGCCTCCCAAAGTGCTGGGATTACAGGCATGAGCCACCGTGCCTGGCCCTATCTTTCCCAATTTTTTGATGGCACTATCACCTTCTAACACCATTATATATCTATTTTACATGTATCTTCTGCATGTTCTAATAGAATGTAAGCTCCACGAGGGCAAAAGTTTATTTTGTTCACTGAAATAAACTGGGCGCCTAGAATCGTACCTGACACACAATGGGCGCTAAATCAATCACCTGTTCAATAAACGAAGGCAACATAAGTACAACGTGTGTGTGTGTGGGGGGGGGGGGTTAAAAAGGAAGAAGTCCCAATAGGAAGACAAAAAGGTTACGAAGTAGGAATACAGCATCATACAGCATCATGCCCCATTCGACAGATTTAAGTTTATCTAGAAAATAGTTATGCGTTTTTTAAAAGTTAAAATGACTGATTTAAACGTTCTTACATTATTTAAGAATACCTTGTTAAAAGCCTTTGTAACGGCTTTCCTTACAAGTGTTCCACTCTTTTAGATGTGGTATCAGCCACAGAAATCGATTGTTCCCTTCTCGTTTTGCAGTTGGGAAAATTACAAGTCTACAAATTCCCAAGTAACTGGTCCTTGCATTTTTTAAAATTAAACCACCCACTTTAAATTCGTTCCTTTCGTCGGAGTTCGCACGAAGGAAGTTGGAAGGCAGACTTCCATCAACAAGCGACAAAGCACGGGAACGAGACACCTGAAAAACGCTCCCCGAAATTCCGCAAAACCCACAAGGCGCCGGCGAAGGCTTTAAGACGTTCACCTGGCTGAAAACACGGCGGTGGGCTGAGGACTCCCCCAGGTGGGTTCTGCCTCCCGCCGCAGGGCGCGCCCGTCCCCGCCGCCTCTCCACCCTTCTCCGGTGCCGGCCGCAGGGCCTCGCCGGCAACAGTCGATAGCGGGCCGAACCCAAGAACTAAGGGCCCTCAGAGACGACCCGACCAACGCAGCCTAGCTCCGGGGACGGCGCGGAGCGCTGGCCTGCCTGCCTCCCCCTCCCCCTCCCTACCCAGCTCAGCCATTACCTGTGGGGAAGGCGCTTCCCACCGCGGACCGGACAGAAGCCGCCACAAGCCCAAAAGGAGGTTCCTACTTCGACCACCTCTTCAGCCACCGCAGAAGCCGCAGAGCGGAGCCGGCGACCCGGAAGTGTTCGCTGAACCTGGAAGTGACATCCGGCCCGTGGGCCGGGAGGCCCCGCCCAGCGTTGCTCCCGCCCGCCAATCAAGCCTCTCGAGGGAAGGACAAGGAGGTGAAAGGAGGGGCGTCGGGCTGGAGCTTCAAGCCCTAACGTGGTGGGCAGGCGCACTGCTCGAGTAACACGAAATCCTTCCTAAGGGAATTATCATTTTTAGACACTAATCTTCTCCACTGTTAGATGCACAATTTAAGAAAATGTAGGGTATTCATACTTGATGCCGGAAGTGTGTTCAGGAGAAGACTGTTGAAAAGACGTTGCAGACGAATTCTTTAAAGATTATAGCTGGGTCTCTTCTTTACCACTCGAAACGGGGCTGCAATTAGTTTAAGCAAGCAAAGCTTTCAGTTTGTGACTGCTTCATGAAAAATTTTAATTTGGGAGAAATTATATTTAAAATTTCCATCTAATATGCAAGGTAAATACTGCAGTCCACATTTCAAGTTAGCAAAATCGCAAATTGTTTTAGGTGTCAGGGTGCATGGCATACTAACTGGCTTTTAAACGCAGCAGTAATGTGTAGCGCAGTTTATCCTACAAAATAATTGAACACTGATTAAAGAGTAAGTGAAAAAAAAAAACACAACCCCAAACAAAACAAAAGAACCCAAAAACCAACAACAAAGAGTGGTATCAGCTGAAACCTCTGAGCAGGTCTATGAACAAGTTCTTATTTAGGCCATGTTTTCATTTTAAGCCATAAAATTTCATCTCAGATTCCCCATTAACTAAAAAAATTGTCAACTAAGAAAAAGTTTCATTATTGTTTTGATATTAAAATAATAAAAGCAGGCTGAACTCTCTGCTCTTCAAACAATAGAAGCATTCAGACTAGAAAGGGTAACGAGTGGAAAGGTCCGAAACTATTTCAGAGGCTTATAGGACAATCAGAGCTAAAATTTACTAAAAAATTTAGTAGCATAATGAAAGACAGAAAAATGTGATACAATGAGGCAAAGACGAACGTTCCAATAAATTTATTTAAATTCATTAATGTTGCAAAAATATGGTGTGCAACAAATGAAAGACACAGTTATATTCCTAACAGGTCAAAGGGAAAGAAAGTATTACACCTCCTCAGTAAATCATGGCGAACTCTCGTGTTTCTTACAAGGACCACATCAGTATCTTGCACACAGACATCAGAACTGAACTTCTCACAATGCAAAATGACAGTACTAGGCTAGGCAACATCTTCCTAACAGTAGGAAAATATTACAGTACATTAATTTTGTCTAAATGACAGCAATGAACTGGTGGTAACAAAAGTATTCTTGAAACAGATATCAAAGTGCGTTAGTGTCTTAACAAACTCAAAGCTGTGTTCTGTGTGAATAGTGCCAAGGGCTGTGGAAGTCTGTGACCCTGAACACCATCAATATTTACTAGCCAGGTTTACGAAAATAAACAAGCAGCTGTTAAAGGGGCATTAAACTTTACAAAGTCCACATACAAAAAGTGCAGTGTAGTAGCTGATGAATGTTATTTTCCAAGTTCCTCCTTAGCCAAATTGCATTAAAACTGCAAAAGGCAAATATTTTAACTTCTTGTAGGATGTCTCAGAATCATCTATTTGAAACTAAATAGCTTAATATCATTAATTTAGAAGCACAAAATGATTTTCATTTGGTGCTTGATTTATTAAGTGCATATTTATGTGAATTTTTCATAGCATTTTACTTGGTTCTCAAAACATAGGTAGGTCTATTACAGATAGTTGCAACATACTGTTATATTCAAATTTTAGTGTCACTCCTAACTATACTACTTTATTTTCAATTATCATTTAGAACTTCCAAGGTAAGTTACATTACTGGCTCTCCGCACTGATCTGATTCAGAATCTTAAGAAGGGTCGGGGTGGGGGTTAGGGGAGGGGCTCGCCAGTTTTGTAGAACACCGAGTAGAGACTACCCCACTTCCCTTGCCAGTTGGCCTTCCCATTCAAGTTTAAGTTCTTGACTCTTTCTCCCAGCAACTCACACCACACAATTCTGATTACCTGAAACAAGACAGACTCTTTAATGGCAAAATAGGCCTAACTTGTTAAGTACATTATTGCCTCTTTTTACTCCATTCGTCTCAGATTTGTAATCCATTTCTCAAATGTCCATATAGGATGGGAGAAAAAGCAGGCATGAAAACTAAATAGAATGGTGTAGCAATCTCTATTTTCAGCCTATCTCCTACTGCCATCTGACTGAGCAAGACTGACACTTCTCTGCATATGACATGGAAAAAGGAAGGATGAAGTGACTGTCACATCTCTACCACCCTCATCAGCAAACTGGCCTGTTCTACCTGAATGTCCGTCCTAATGTTAATTTATCACTTGAAGAACTATAAAAAGCCACTTCTGTATTGAACACATTTCCAGATTCCCTGAGCATTCACATCAACAGCCAAATAGAAATGGTAAACGTCTTTTTTTAAAGGCCTCTATGAAAAAGCAGATCTCTTAACTTTTTAAATTCTGGAATTACAGCTGGAGAAATTCTAGCTATAGATATATGCTTGCCAGTCAACAGATTTCAGTACTCGGTGCCCTTACTAAATAGTGATGTTGATTTTGGAAAACCACAGCAATGTTCAACAGCAGTGAAATATGAAACACAAACCCCTCAAAATTCAACTGTAAGTGCTGTAATGGCTAACCTTCTCTGTTCAAACTTGCTTCTGTATGAACGAAGAAAGAGAAAATATGAATTCTCATCATAGGTGTGTATTATCAGCCTTTTCCCCTTCAATCCAGTCTTTATTCACATATCTTCTGTGTAGCCTGTAGGTTTTCCTGCTGGATACAAGAAATGGTACCACCAGCTGTCCTATCTAGTACTTCTCTTAAGAAGGACACCCTTACAGTGGCATATTAGGTAACAGCTATGTTTTTATCCCTTTATAAAGGTTGACTTTCCCTTCCCAGTTTTTATCACTTTCCAGTGACTCTGCTAGACCCTACTTAGAATCGTATTTCTTCATCTCTCCCTCTGAGTTAAAGACTGTTAAGCTTAAATTATTGGGCGAATAGAACATCTTCCCTTGGTGCCTGCTTGGGAGTATGACTAAGCAGAACACAGAGTCAAATTATTTCACATGAAAAACTTCTGACTAAAAAAAGGGGCACCTGGAGCCTAGTGACAAAAGCATCAAATTAAGCCAGGTATGTTAGATGCACGGTCCCAGCAGAAAGATGAAACGGTATAATCATACACTCTCACCCCAGTAATGGGAAATTAAAATGTAGTAACTGGGAAAATGTTACATAGCTATAAATTAGAAATAACAAACTTTTAATAAATGATCTTCCTCTACCCTACTAGTTATGATCTTAAACCTTACAGTTATAAAACATTTACTGTGGGTGCATCCCTATGCCAGATTCCATTCAGGTACAGGCCAAAGCAGGTATCCCTTTAATTCCGTGATTCACAGCACCTCCTCTTCTTTATATCCCAGGTGTTAACACTGTTGTCTCTGAATTTTTATGTTTAACAGAATATAGGCTTCTTCTATTTTAAAAAGAAATTCAGAAAAACATGGCTTTTGCAACACATATCTACAGTTAGGAGTAATGACTGGAAAATCAAAAAACAAAAAAGAAAGTTATTCTTCATATTTTTCAGACTGAAGAAGCAAGTACTTAATGTGGTGGAAAACCACCTGTTAAAAACCTCAGGCCATTCTGAGCAAGGTAAAGACGCATAAATGAAAGACTATGTTAACTGGTCTACAAACAGAGAATCTAGTCACAATCAATTGTTTACACGTAATCCTCATATGGTAAATTCAGAAGGAATGCCTAACGTGTTATTGTTAGTTTGCTTCTTCAACAAAAAGCGTTCCTAAGATGTGAGCGAGCAATAATGATTTTGGCTCCATTCACTGTAACGTTAGTTCCGGATCTGCCAAGAGCTGCTGGATCCGAGTTAAGTCAGGAGGCTGCTGAGGAATGTTTCATTCTGGGAATGCTCCAGCATCTCTTATAATTGGTTTTAAGTCAGCATGCCAAGTATAAGACTGAGGAGGACAAAAAGTATAGAGAGAAAAGTTCCCTTTTGTAACAGGAGACTTAGAATGACGTGAGAATGGTAAGAGCCACATGTGTGTTCAATCTACAGACGCACTCTTAAAAGGTTAGCTCACATCCACTTCAGTTTTGCTACTCTAGGGCACTCTTTTGCAAAATACCTTACAGGAAAGTTTGGAGTAGCATAACCTTCAGATTAGGAAGGTATTATGCTTACCAGCTGCACATGAGTCTTTCAGGTATATGACACAAAATTAGATCAATCTGTTGTTTCAGAAATAATTTTTTCGGTAATTAAGCTTTTTGTCTGGAGGCACAAACACAATTTATTTCAACGTAATGGTACTTACCAAATGAAACCATTTAAATGCTTGTATCAAATGTGTTATCCAAAACAGCACAATATAATGATGCTCTCTAAGACTTACAGAATTAACCTAACTTACAGTATTGTCAAACATGATTTCATAGAAATTTGAACAAACACCACATCTAATTAGGTCAAACAACTACTGACTTCAAATAATTGATATGGAAGTATTTTGGTAAAGTGCCCACAGTGAGAGCGGTTTAAAAAGCAGCCCCTGTTTTCTACAGAAAAAGTTGTGACAGTGAATAACTCATCATATCCTCTGCAATACTACACAACACTCACACACATTCAGGGGAGCAATGCCCTGGACACACAGCTTATTTCACATTAGTGAACAAACTCAAGATTTTTATAAAGTTCTGACTTCGGGTCAGAAAATAAAACGTCCCATATATACATATTTACAAACCTCCATTCCTAATGTCTTAAATCCTCTAGTTCTAAAAATGGCTTTTTGACTTGTCTTTAAAAAGAAAAAAGTGTGCAATGCACTTGCATTTGTACTTGCTGAATTATGAAACGATATTACGTTAAATGAGAAAAGAACCTTGGGATGGACTAATACACTTTGATTATGTACATGATCTTTGGGTATTCATGAGAATCAATTGAACTGTTCATTGCCTTATGAAAAACTCAATTTTCCAAGTTACCTAGGAAATGTATTTAACCATCTACAAAAACAAAAATTCTAATATGTACTTTACAAAATCATGGTCTTAATTTACCTGCATATTTTTTCCACACAACAGGTACACATTAAAAAATATTGCTTAAAAACATAAAAATATATATTATTTCTTTCCTTTGCCTTTTATGCATATAAATATTTCACCGAAGATGACGCATCATTCAATAAACAAATGCAAAAACTGTTGTATATAAAGTGTGGTTCTCTGCTATTCAGCAATATAAAACATAAAATGATAATACCGTTAGCTATTAAAGAGCTAAATTCAAGAGATTTGCAAACCAGTACAGCAGTGAACAGTCCCTTGTATAATACAAAAGTCCATTAAGAAGAGTCAGGTCAATCTTGTAACAGGTTACATAAAAATATGGGCCAACAAATGCATTATGAATGCAAAACAGCACTGCGTCATCAGCACATTCTTCGGTCTTGTTTGGACTAGACGCCAAACTTACTGTTCGTTTCTCGGTTCGTCTTGCTTTCCATTAAGCTCTTGATCAACTCTGTTTAATGAAGAATATACGCAATAAGAAACTAGCAACTGACCAATTTTCTTTCTAAAAATGACTGTTTTAGCATAGAATATCACTCTGTTAAAGACAAAGGTTTGCAAAGCAGCAGACGCAGTAAAACCAGTTACCAAATGTCATCTCCCCAGCCAGAAAAGAAAACTTTCAAAGGCGCGAGGACACTGGCAAGAAATGTGACTGTTGTTTCTTTAAAAATTATTAAAGACTTTACATACACATGGACATCAACTTTCTTAAAACTTCTAATCACATGGCATATTAAAACCCTGACCTGTAACTTGGCTACGGTAGGGATCCAAGTGGTTACAGACTGGCGGGAATAACTCCCTCAAAAATGACTGTTAACTAAAATATGGAAGTGCCACTAATGCCACTAACTCATCAATCAATACGTTAAAATCCAGTGATTAAAAAAATGCATACTTACAGAACCCATAATTATTCTCTAAAACTTACTGGTACCCAGTCTGTGAGTGCCTTTAACTTATTTTGACAGTATGAAGCCATAAGAATTTAACATTCAAAACTATCTAAGTATAAATCAATTACTAGCTGGGCACAGTGGCTCACACTTGTAATCTCAGCACTGTGGAAGGCTGAGACAGGCGGACCGCTTGACCAGCAGTTCGAGACCGGCCTGGGCAACATGGCAAACTCTGACTCTACACAAAACACAAAAATTAGCCAGGTGTGGTAGTGTGCACCTGTAGTCCCAGCTACTCAGAAGGCTGAGGTGGAAGGAATGCTGGAGCCCTGGAGACCCAGGCTGCAGTGAGCCGAGACTATGCCACTGCACTCCAGCCTGGGTGACAGAGGAAGACTGCCTCAAAAAAATCAAAACAAAAATCCATCCAAAAATCTGTTTAGTGGTGGGTTGCACATCAGTCCTATCAAAATTTAGGCATGTGGGGATTAGAAGGATTACATAATTACCATACAATAATTACAGACAACCCTTCAAAGGTAACAGTCTATTACTATTACATTTGTGGTGGTCTGGATGGCGGATGCAGGGACCCTGAAAACAATCTGGTATCAGATATAAAAAGGTACTTTTCATGTTTTTACTATTAACACCCATTACTGTGCTCACCTGAGTATCAGTGAAGCAGACCTAAAAGCCTGGTCTGTGGTAAAGGCAAAGTAACATTTAAAAATATTTTAAATATTGTTATCAAAAATTTGAAAGGTACATATTTCTGATAAGGCATTTGATATAAGGATGATCAAATCCTTTTAACATCCGAACTATCTTTACCAACTAATTTCATAATTATTTTTAAACTCCACTAAAACATGTTAACACTCTGTATCTACATGGCCACACTTGCACTGAGTTGTTTGAAACAAGCATTTGAAACATTTAAAACTGCGATCCTTTTACTGTCACTGGGGACACTGAATCTCACTATGGTCAGCACTTCTTCAACCCTCTTCCCCACAAACCCCTTCTTCCCCTGCTCCCCAAAAAACCTGCCACAGGGACTCAGTTTCATACTCTCTGTAGCACCAGTACTTATCATGTCATGCAGTTGTCACCTTAAATAAGCTCCTTTGCACCTAGCCTCTGTAAGGTTTGCTTTTAAAAACATGGCAGGGTGTGGTGGCTCACACCTGTAATCCCAGCACTTAGGGAGGCCAAGGCGAGCAGATCATCTGAGATCAGGTGTTTGAGACCAGACTGGCCAACATGGTGAAACCCTGTTTCTACTAAAAATGCAAAAGTTAGCTGGGTGTGGTGAAAGGTACCTGTAATCTCAGCTACTTGGGAGGCTGAGGCAGGAGAATCCCTTAAACCCAAGAGGCAGAGATTGCAGTGAGCCGAGATTGTGCCACTGCATTCTAGCCTGGGCGACAAGAGTGAAACTGTCTCAAAACAAAACATGCCTCTCTATCTAAATTTAATTTAAAATTTTATTTTCAGACTGACAAAAATTTGTTAATTTTTAAGACAAAAGAAACTACAAAAACCATAAAGTTTCTAAAAGATACAAGTAATAATTCTGTTTATGGTTAAACCCAAGTGAAAAAAAAAATCAAGATAAAATATTGACAGGTTTCAAACAATGCATTTAAATAAAAAGTATAAATTCCACAGTTTTCCTGATGGCTAAATTACTTCTTCACAGTATGAAAATCTTTTTTTTAAAAAGGCTTAATACAGGATATTTCATCAACGAAGGCAATTCACTTCGAAATCTATAAAGCAGCTAGCTTCAAAATATTCTGCAATTACAAATCACATTTTTAATTTCAGCCACTTGTCTAGCAAATGCACAGCAATGCCTAGAAACGGATGAGAAATCAGCATGATCAGTGTCTACTTTTCTATGTTAAAGTGTTGGCTAAACTGTGAAGCGTCATACAGAAGTGTAAAACTGATTCCATCACAGTGCCTACAGAATTCTCACTCATCAACAGAAACAAAATGTGTTCGAAGTTAAGAATGTTCCAGTTAGTTACAGTTGGCTCCTTAGAATGCTTGTCCATACATATAAATTACATATACATACACCAATTACGTATAAATCTCTCACCATAACTCTTTAGACTGTATTAAACTATGTCATGCTAATTTAACTGCCAATATTTTAAAGATTTAACAACTAGCTCCAAATTCTACATTTTTCAAAATTATTACATAAAATTCTAAGTATTGTATATGCTTGTCTTCCATCATCTATGCCAAGGTATCAATAGATAATAGTTTGTTATGCTCAAAGCAGAGGTGTTCAAAATTAAATTTAAAATAGAAAGCAGAGTGTTTAATTGTTAAACGGTACACTGAGATTTTAGGTATTTTATCACATGTAGAATTTGACTGGTTAGCAAGCCATTTAATTTAAGCGTAAAAGGATATTAATGTTGGTTAGCCAAAGAATATATGCATTGCAAATATAATAGACAACCCCAGGGAAATAATTTGACAACTTTAAAAACGTATGCATAACTATTTCAAAAGCACAAGTTAGCAATTTAAAGAAAATGGTGAAACAGATAAGGTCTTAAAAGTATTCGGTGTTCCAAATATCATTTTTAGCAATTTCTCTGCTTTCACCATTAGTATTTAGAGTAGGAAGGAAAGAGAAGGGTCTGTCGTCTTTAACTGCTAATTGGCATCAAATAAGGCAATAAAACATGGTGAATCCAAGTCACATTCAGCCTTAGGAACTCCGGGTTCACCCTGTATTTGGAAGTTGGGGTATATTCATATTTACAAATGCTGTTATCTTTGTCTACAAGCTAACCAACCGATAAGGAGGAGTTAGTCGCAATGCAAATGGACTAGTCTAGATGCAACCCAGTCAAGGTGTGCATATACCTTTTTCGTTTCTTTTTAAACTTTTCTTCTTCATACCTTTGTGGGGAAGAGTTATTTCAGTAAATACACGTTATGAAGATGAACAAAAACTTGAAAAAAGGTACTAAAAATAAACCCATTTAAATTTTCCAGCAAAACCAAAAATACTTAAGACATGATGTACAAAGTAAAAGTCTGACCTTTGCGCATTAAATACACTAAACCTCAGGTAAGCAGAACAAAGACACTTTTCTACATGCACTGTAATACCCAGGTATTTATGCTAATAGCCTTCCACCAAGTCCAGGAAGTTACACGGAAGAATATGAATCTGATAAAGAGAACGAAATTTCAGTCACCGGAAAACATGAAGGTTATGTTGACTTAAATATTCTTATTCGTTTGGCAATGATTATTCATGATGAGTTCACTCAAATTCGTTGAGCACCGTGTTCACCTTTGGAGAATGTTCCTTAGTACTAATCAATTAGAAAAATCATCTCTGAGATTATAACCACTCTATGAAAGTTTAACATGGATCACAACCAGAAATAATTTCTCCTAGTTCTTCAACTGACAGCCTGAAGAAAATGCCAACTTATTGGGATGATGTGGGAAGTGGCTTCTTCCCCTTTTTCTTTGCTACACACACACACACACAGACACACACACACACACACACAGCTATAACACATAATGCATAAAGAATGAGTACTGAAAAGGATTACCTGCTGCACATCAAAATATTAAGATTCAATACAATTAAGGAAATAAAACAAAACATACTGTTTTATGCATTCTGGTATGCCAACGTACTCCATGGGGACAAGTTCTGCTAGTTCTGCCAAATTAAAGACGTATCTAATTTTTTGGCTGAATTTTGAGCTACGGAAGAAAACAAAAATAATTACCTCCATATTTCTGACAAACAGAATGGCAACAATGTTTACAAGACACAAACATTCCTTATATACAAATGGGTATAAGAATTTTTTTTAAAAAGTTGTATCATTTTGAATGTTCAACACACAAGGATGATAAATGTCTGAGGTGATGGATGTACTAGTCACTCTGGTTTGACCATTATACAAGGTATACACAAACCAAATACAGCTCTGTATCCCATCAATACATACAGTTAATATGTGTCAGCTGAAAATAAATGGAAAAAAAAAGAAGTAAAAATAAAATTACAGTCAATGGCTCTCAAAAATTACCTAATAAATGGTCTTGTAACAGCCAGAAGTGTTCTGATAAACCAAGAAGGATGTACAATGATTAGGGATTTTAGATTTTTCCGTAACCTGGAGTTAAAAAAGAAAAAAAAAACAAAAAAGTTAAAAGCCTCTACAAATTCTAATGCTAAAAGTCAAGACATCAATAAATATGTCAAAGTTTGTACAAAACAGTAATTGAAAAATCTCACCCAAGAGTTCTCATTTAGGTGTGGCACTCCTGTAGACAAGAAAATACACTCCTGAATTTTGATGGTTCCTCCTACTCCTATGAAATGAACTTTACTTCATTTGGCCAAATGTATGTACACAGTATAGCCTGTTATTAAATGTCTCCTAGCACACACATTCACCTGTCTTTGGGGCTCTGTCAACCAGGGAAAGAGGCCAATACAAAAGAATATAAGAGTAAACTATTCTCATCTTCCAAAACTAGGGAGAAACTGGTGCTAAGTTCTTAAAGCATTGTGAAGGCAGAGAAATATGCATGGGCGAGATGACCACAGAACAAAAACAAATCAGATCTAACTCGTGTTCTTATGAAATTTAAAGTTTTGATTAAAAATGAAAGGTATTATCCTGGACATCTTCTTTGTAAATGACTAAATGAAAACTTATTGTATTACGTGTATTTCACACATCAAGTTATATAATCACAGGAGCTAGCCGATGTCAAATTTAGATGTGAAGAGGAAATTATCAATGGTACAGACTTGATTTAAATTAGCCATGGCAAGATCAAACCAACTGGAAGAACACACTCCTTCCATTAAGTACTAGTGACTAACTCCCAAGAGAATACACTGCTAAGCCAAAGAAAGATTACAACTAAACAAGCATCATTAAGAAACCTAAGACTGAGCGCCGTGGCTCATGCCTGTAATCCCAGCACTTCGGGGGCTGAGGCAGGTGGATGGTTTCAGGCCAGGAGTTAGAGAACCAGCCTGGGCAACATGTTGAAACGCTGTCTCTACAAAAAATACTAAAATTAGCTGGCTGTGGTGATACATGCCTGGAGTCCCAGCTACCTGGGAGGCTGAGGTGGGAGAATCATCTGAGCCTGGAAGGTCACAGCTACAGTGAGCAGAGATTGCACCACTGCAGTCCAGCCTGGGTGACAGAGTGAGACCCTGTCTCAAAGCAAAGCACAAAACAAAAACATACAACAAGCTGAGCACTATAAATGAGGCAAAGCTCAGAATGTCATAACATAGGAAACATATGACATTCTCCATCCTTTCCCAAGATGTAAACAGTAGAAAAGTGTTCAATGTGGAGAAAATGTCTCCTTATAAACGAGGAGAAATGTGGAGCTACTTTACGAATTAAGGTTATTCTTTACAGAAAAATCAAAATTGATTTCCCTCGTAACGTTCTAAAATGCTATCTTCAGAAAACAGAAACCTCTCATGAAATTAATAAATGAAATTTTAAAAATAAATGTTTTTAAATAGCAACAGAAAACAAAGTTTGATCTACTAAAGCCATTATAAAAACTTTCCAGACTAGCTTTTAACTTGTGTTTGTATTACCTTCTATCGATTTGCTGATAACATTTCCTGAGCCACCCCAGACTGGGCATTTTTCTTCGAGTTGTCGCACCATTTAAATAAACTATCATGTAGTTCTCTGCTACCAATAGCTCCAAAGTGCCAATAACATATCTGTAAAAAACAGATTAAGTTTAAGCCTTAAAATCACTGTGTAGAACTGAACTAGAGTCTCCATGTACAATTTCTTTCTCTCCTCTACAAGGAAAGCAAACAATGAAAATGCTCAAACTGCATTAGCTGGTATTACGATCATTTTAAAATGTTACTTTTTAAGAGATATATATGAAAATGTTTTTAGAAGAAAATGATTTGCTTCTGGGATCTGCTTCAAAAGTATATACTGAGGGGAGAAGTGGGAACGAACTTTAAACTGATAATTGTTGAACATTTGATTTACTTCTCTTTACCCTTGTGAATGTTTAAAATTTTCCACAATAAAGTTTTTAAAAACTGGATTAACCCGAGAAACAGAATGATCCTGTGGAAACAGAACTGATTCAGCTCAGTTATACTGGCCTTCTAGGGGTGAATGTAATTTAGCCACATGATTTTGAGACAAAAATCACTTCTTCACACTTAATGTACCTGCAAATGTAAAATTAAAAAGCTGGGATAGGTGGGGCATGGTGGCTTACTTGAAGCCTGGAGTTTGAGACCAACCCTGGCAACCTAGTCAGATCCTGTCTCTACCAAAAATAAAAAAAGTCAGGTGGATGTGGTGACATGTGCCTGTAGTCCCGGCCACTAGGGAGGCTGAGGTAGGAGGATGGCTTGAGCCCGTGAGGTCAAGGGTGCAGGGAGCCGTCGTTGTACCAGTGAACTCCAGGAAGGGTGACACTGTGAAACTCCGTCTCAAAACAAAAAAAAGTTGGAACAACAAATCGGAGATATGACAATTTCCCAGTTTTAAAATGACAATTTTTCTCTTGAGTTGGAAAACTATTATCTCATAATGTCAGAGAATAAGGACTCATCTAGTCCCGTATCTAGTAACAAATACTTTTGCTTTACTCTTCATTTCTATCATTCACAAACTTGCACTTGAAAAATTCGGACACTTTCAGAACTGGGATGTTTATTTTTCTGAGAGAGGGTCTTACTCTGTCACCCCGACTAGACTGCAGTGGCAAAATCACAGTTCACTGCAGCTTTGACCTCACACGCTCAGGTGATCCCCCACGCCAGGCTCCTGAGTAGCTGGGGCTACAGGCCCTTATCGCCATGCCTGGCTAATTTTTTGTTTTTGTAGAGAGAGGGCTTTGTTATGTTGCACAGGCTAGTCTCCAACTCCTGGACTCAAGTGATCCGCCCACCTCAGTCTCCCAAGGAACTGGGATATTTATAATTTTTACACACCTTAAGTTTCTTAAGGTGTAGATCTAACTAGCTCAAAATTCTGTCCAAATGTTTTTGTTAAATATATACTTACTTAAAGAGATTGTCCATCAGGTATCTATAGTTAGGTTGACTACTTTCAGGCATGAAACAGACAGCAAACACGACAATGGCATTTAATCCATCCCCATAATATCCTGAAAAAGACACCAAACACACTATCACCAGCATGATTTCACTCTTAGGAATTTTCAGAAGACATCTGTATGATTGGTAAATTATAAATAAGAGTTTACCTCTCACAAACTTATGAATTAAAATGTATGTTTTGCAAATCTTATATGGTCTTACATAGAATTTTAAATTTCTTCTTCCCCAAAAGAGAACAGTAAAATTTAAAGAGGACAGTGGACAAAAAAAAAAAAAAAAAAAAAACCCCCAAGACCACTTAAATAAGCATACTTAAAACGTAGTCACATTTTATCAAGTAGACAAATACAGTGATATAACCCAATACAATACCAACACTATACAACATTTTAAAGTTTAATATACACACACACACACACACACACACACATCACACACATATATATGCACACTTATGGTTAAAGTGGGTACTTTTTAATTTTAAAATATTGTGGAGATAGGCGTCTTGCTCTATTGGCCAGGATGGAGTACAGTGGCATAATCACAGCTCATGCAGCCTCGAACTTCTATGCTCAAGGGATCTTCCCACCTTACAGCCTCCAGAGGAGCTGAGGCTACAGTGCACACAAACATGTGTGGTTAATTTTTTTAAAAAATTTTTGTAGAGACAGAGTTTCAGTGTGTTGCTCAGATTGGTCTTGAACTCCTAGCCTTAAGCAGTCCTCCTCCTTTGGCGCTGGGCATGAGCCACCTCACCAGACCCATAAGTGGGTGATTTTTAAAACATAAGTTTTATATTTAAAAATGCTAGCACTGTATAGAATTTAGGACATCAAAACTAAATTAGGCCAGGCATAGTGGCTCATGCTTGTAACACAAGCACTTTGGGAAGCTGAGGAAGGCAGATCACTTGAGGCCAGGAGTTGAAGATCAGCCTGACCAAAATGGCGAAACCTCATCTCTAGTAAAAATATAAAAAATTAGCTGGGAGTGGTGGTGTGGAACTGTAGCCCCAGCTACTTGGGAGGCAGAGGATGCAGTGAGCCGAGACTGCACCACTGCACTCCAGCCTGGGTGACAGAGTAAGACTTGGTTTCAAAAAAAAAAAAAGTAAATTACATCTCTGACATAATTTTCAGTAACAAAAAACAGTGCTAAAATGTCTATGCTTCAACTGCAGTCTTCAGATATTAAGCCTATAATTAGTAACAAACACATCTGCTGTAACTTTCATTTCTATTGTTTACAAATTTGCACGTGAAAAGATTTGAACATTTCAACAACATCAGAATCTTCGCTATCCTTCTTAAGCACTCAGTCACAAAATACATTGTGGTGATGCAAAAGGATAAGGTGGCCTTGATTACTTCCCCTACAAAAAAGTGCTATGTCTGAAAGATAAAGATGCAAGCTATAAATCAGGTCCTATAGTTCGATTCCTATAAGCTGGCGGAATAATGTGTGTCTGTGGGCTTCCAGATCCACATGATGCCATTTTCTTCATCTGAGTAAGACTAAATGAGGCAGAAGAATGCAACTACAAATATTCATGTGATTTCCTTTTTCAGATGAATGAAGACTATAGAAATAAGCAGGGGAATGCATTTGGCAGCGAGTAAATTAAGTGGAAATAACTTAGAAAAAAAAAATCAATCTGCTTGACCCATGTGCCCCGCTGTCCTGCGTTAGGAGAATTTAAAGTAGTATGACATACTCTATAGTGAGTTGTGTTCTGACTTGGCACTAACATTCCAGCACTATTTACAACACGCCTAGGTAAACTTCTATACATGGTGCTGTTAGACTGAAAGGATTTATAACTTAAACTTATATAGCTTTTCTTATTTCTTAAGGGACTTAAACCTTGTATTTTTGTATATCCCATAAATATGCAAAGTGGGTGCTCTATAAAAATGTGGAGTGAACTAGTTCTCTATTAAAAAATAATTTGTTCAGAATTTTAAGGTAAACTAAGAGTTACAAGTTTAAAAGTCCAAGTTTTACTTATATCCACAAAAAGACTTCAAGAATGTTCAAAGCCATTTGTTTATAATTGCCCAAGTTAGAAACAACTCACATGCACATCGAAAAAAAGAATGGATAAGCAAATTATGGTTTCTCCATGCAATGGAAAACTACTCAGCAATTAGAAGGAATGAACTGTGGACATGTGCAATCATATGGATTAATCTCAAAAACGTCATGCTGAAAAGTAGACCAAAGAATGCATAGGATGATTTTAGTTACCATACATGAAATTCTAGAACAGGCGAAACTAATTGGGGGTAGGTATAATAGTGGCTACTGGAAGTGAGTATTTACTGGGAAGGGGTATTAAAAAATTCTTCTGGGACACTAAAAATGTTCTATACATTTAGGGGTGTGGGTTATATACATGGATATGTATTTGCCAAAACTCACTGAACTGTACACTTAAGATCAGAGCACTTCACTGTTTATAACTTAGGGAGAAAGGACAGTCCCAGTTTTCGGTGGCCTGATGACAGTTAAAAAAATTTTTTTTGAGACAGGGTCTGTCAAAAAACAAAACAAACAAAAGAAAAAACTGGAGTGCAGTGGCATGATCACGGCTCACTTGCAGCCTCAACTTCCCAAGCTCAAGCTCTCTCTCCTCCCACCCCATATGCCACTGCTTCTGGCTATTATTTATTTATTTATTTTTTTGTGGCAACCATGTCTACGTTGCCCAATCTGGCCTTGAACTCCTGAGCTCAGGTAATCCTCCTGCCTCAGCCTCTCAAATTGCTGGGATTATGGGCCTGAGCCACTGTGCAAGCTGACAGTGTTCCCTACAGATTCTTTTGTACTTTTTCAACTTACGGTATGCATATAATGATTTTAAATGGTAGCTTCATTCTTCTACTTTAAACCTGTCATGTTTCTAAACTGATATGAGAAATGTTTATTATTCTTTCAAAATTACATGATATCTCTAGGCAGAGTTTCTAAAAGCATTTAGAAATCTGATATTGCATTAGGCAATCTGAGAAATCCTCAGCAACTCTTACCCCCATGGCTGATAACTTTTTTATAGGGTTCAATCGCTTTCATGTCAACCCTGTGGTCCTGCTCTCCAATCCTGAACATACGCCAGCGTCGTCCATCTTCTTTTTCCTCTGCTGCTGTATATTCAGTAATTGAGCCTTTCCTAATTACTTCAGTAGTCTTGGGTTTTGGAAGATCATCTGTGAAAATAAAAAGTTTTTGAATCACAAATTGTTATACAACAAAAATCAAATTATACGTTAACCACTTTACTATCCAGGTTTTTCAGAGAATTTTCATTCATGAGCACAATTTTATTTTATTTTATATATTTTTTTTAAATAAAGATGGGGTTTCACCATTTCGGTCAGGCGGGTCTTGAACTCTCAACCTCAGGTGATTCGCCCGCCTTGGCCTCCAAAGTGCTTGGATTACAGGCATGAGCCACCACGCACGGCCAGTGAGTGCAATTTTAAACGTCTCTTTCATAATGGAGGAAAAGGCTTATTCTTAATTTGAGGCCATCTTAAATCATTGGAAATCATGGTTCTTTAACTTTTTTTATTGCCCAATTCAACAAAAAAAACCACCTAATCACAGTGCAATGTATATCCAAAGTTCAGAAAATATTAATTCGTAGAGTCATCAAAATCTTAGCACACTGGCCTTACGACACCTTCCAGATTCAACTTGTGACAGTGCTGTCCCTGGCAGTTATGACTCTAGGTTACTTCAAGAAGCTATCTGGGAGCCAATGTTGTTGTTGCTGAGCACACAAATTAACTGTAATACCAGATAGGAAGTGGTTAACTAGCAGTGATCACTTCTCATTTGATCAGCTTTATAAAGCAGAAATGTATTTACGATACTCTGAGGTACACATGCAGAAGTCTATTTAAATTAGCATTGGCCAAAGCATAAGCACGAATGATCAGGTGTAATTTATGTTTTGAGATTGCAGCTTAGCTGATTTTTAATTTAGTAATGATTTTCAAAATTTCAGTATTATGGTCCTTACCAAAAGATGGGGGAAGGGGGTAACCTACTGCATGTTAGTTGTTTCCAAGACAAAGCTGTTAACGGAAAATATCCTTCCAGGAAATGACTACAGCAGCATTGAAGAAAGAAGAGACAAAACACACAGGCACAAAACGGTTTCAGTATCTTCATAAACTATTGCTTACTACTGGACTGTTCAATGAACCAGTGAAACAGAGAAGAAAACAGAAACCCAAAATACAGCACATCACACTTTGTTATAGTAAAATACTGAATGCCAAACACTACTTTGGGAAAAAAACCATTTTCAAGATGGAAAAACCATACATAAAAATTATAACAAGTATATAAAAGATATGTAGACAATTTTCTAATTAAAGAAAGCATGCAAAGTAAAACACAGGACAATTCCTTTGAATTACAAATAATTAATGACAATGAATACCAGGTCTGGGGGCTAAAAGTATACGTTGATTTAAGTTGGTCACTTTACAAAGTAGAACAATACCAGGCAAGCCTATTTAAAAAGTCGCCCCCAAAATGCCTTTCAGAACCCCCTTCCCACAAACTGTTAAGTATATGTTGCTTCAAGTTTCTTACTTGATTCACTGAAACTCAGCATGCCATAGTCATCAGCAATATTTGTTAAGCAACTATGAAAGAAATGTGACAGCACTGGGCAAACAAGAGTGGGGGAAACCACTGGTGTCATCTACTATATACGGTTTTAAAGTCTGTGAGAATATTCAAGTGTTAGCAGAATTTCCTATCTTAGTAACAAATAAATGAACTTCAGAAAGAATCACACACTTCAAGCAAAATCCCTGAATACATGAATGAAGATGAGATTAAAAACAGTGAAACATTTACCTTCCCACTCAAACTCATTACTATTCTCAGAGGGTGTGTCTAAGCCATCTAACTCAATCTCCCCACTTTCATCCAAATCGTCCGACAACACAGAGCCATCGCTAGGATCCAGTGTCAGGCTAATGTCTGGAGGCATTAGTTTCTTTCTCACTTTATTTTCATTGACTTCTAGGGAACCTGGAATTGGAAAATAAAGAAAAAGATATGTAACAAAAAACGCTTAGATATTAAAGATGAATATGAAACATTTTAACTACTCCACTCGGGGAAAAATAGTATCAATTAAACATAACTTCAAAGCACCTACTTACAAAATTTTGATTCTGATCACTCCTGCTTCTACATTGTTGGCAAAAGCTCAATAAATTATCAATGTTTTTTAAATAGAGGCAGACCTTATAGAGACCTCTTACCAATAAAAATGATCTCCTCCCACCTGTTTACTGTAAAACTTTCCAAAAACCAAGCATATGTTTTGGGAAGTTAATTTTTTAACGCATTCTAAAAATGCTTTCCTCAATGTTAAGCTTATACATTGACTTCTACAATGGAATACAAACTCAAGTTGGTTTTTTTTTTTTTGGATAAAGAAATGTGTTTAAAAAAAAAAATCACAAAGTCCATCATTTCATTGAAAGTAAAAGTGTTAAGCTCTTACCAGGCTGGTTCTCTGGTCCAGTTATAGCCAGTATATCTGCTTCGGTACTATCATCTTCTGGTAAAGGTCTAGAAGACACAGGCACACTTTTTAACGCAGAAATTAAGAAAGAATTTTTTTCAAGTTCAATCTATTAAACATACAGCTTACAGAAATACATATGTGGAAAATGGAATGAAGCGGTGTTGTTTTTGAGACAGGGACTTGCTCCGTCACCTAGGCTGGAGCACAATGGCACAATCGTGGCTCACTTCAGCCTTAACTCCTAGGCTCCAGAGATCCTCCTATTTGGGACTACAGGTGCGTGCCACCACACACAGCTAATTTTTAGCAGAGTCAGAGTCTTGCTATGTTGCCCAGGCTGGCCTTTTAGGCTCAAACGATTCTCCCGCCTCAACTTCCAAAAATGTTGGGATTACAGGAGTGAGCCACTGTGCCCAGCCTAAGCAGTGTTTAAGATAAAGCCTCAGCTTTATGAGTAGCTAGGACTACAGTTGCACACCACCATGCCCGGCTAATTTTTAGGGTTTTTTTTGTAGAGACCAGGTATTGATTGCTATATTGCCCAGGCTGGTCTCAAGTGATCCTTCTGCCTTGGCCTCCCAAAGCACTGGGATTATAGGCATGAGCTGCTATGCTTGGTTACGCCTTAAAAATTCTCAGACTGTCAGAGCTCACTTATTACATATAAGTAACACAAAAACAGATATAAATACCTCACGTGTAGGTATTATAGAATTATAAAACGTAAAAATTTTAAACAACTGTAACTGAAACGCGCAAATATAATGCGACATATGATGCAATGTATGAAGCTCAAGTTTGACTCAAGAGACTCAGTAACAATGGTTCATTTCTTCTGAGATCAGCGTTCCTATGTTACTATCACCACCACGTGCAACAGAGACTCAGGTCTCCTCTCAGCTGTCCAACTTCTAACTGCTAAGGCACCTGATTATGGACTAGGATATCTTCTGGCCACTATGCATGGAAGCACTATTTCATTATAAGTCTGCCTTTGCCTCTTTTCATTAGCCTACCTGGTGCCAATACAATTGTAAACACGAATGCAACATGTCAAGGTGGCTGGCCAGATGAGGTAGAAAACCCTTATTAATTTACTTAGTAAGGCTTTTCTGGCGGGGGGAGGGGATCCCACAAAATTATTATTATTTTTGAGTCAGAGCCTGGCTGTGTCACCCAGGCTCGAGTGCAATGGCACGATCTCACCTCACTGCAACCTCTGGCTCCCGGGTTCAGGCAATTCTCATGCGTCTGGCTTCTAAGCAGCTGGGACTACAAGTGCATGCCACCACACTTAGCTAATTTTTTGTATTTTTAGTAGAGATGGCGCTTTGCCACGTTGGCCAGGTTGGCCTCAAACTCCCGGCCCTAAGTGATCTGCCCACCTCAGCCTCCCAAAGTCTTGGGATTACAGATGTGAGCCACTGCACCTGGTCATAAAATTAAAGAAAAATTTTAAAGACAACTAAAGACCGCCTTCTCTGAGGAATCCCTCAGACTTAGTTTAAAGAGAAAAAAACGGGCCACGTGTAGTGGCTCACGCCTGTTATCCCAGCACTTTGCAAGGCCAAAGTGGGTGAATCACGAGGTCAGGAGCTCAAGACCAGGCTGGCCAATATTGTAAAACCCATCTCTACTAAAAATACAAAAAAAAAAAAAATTAGGTGTGCTGGCACATGCCTGTAATCCCAGCTACTTGGGAGGCTGAGATAGAAGAACTGCTTGTCCCTCGGAGGCGGAGGTTGCAGTGAGTTGAGATTGTGCCACTGCACTCCAGCCTGGGCAACAGAGCAAGACTCCATCTCAACAAGAACAACAAGCAGGAGACAAACGTTTGGAGACTTGAATGATCAAAACAAAAATGAAAGATCATAGAAGACTACATGTATGTTTGGTTGGAAAGTAAGATACAAGAGAGTCCATCTAACTGTTGAAAAGAAACTTCTCCTTCCTAGAATCACAGGATCACCTTGGATTACTGAGTTTAAGAAGCCAAATATTCACCTAAAAAGTGATATCTCGGAGGGGCATGGTAGTTCACGCCTGTAATCCTACCACTTTTGGAAGCCCAGGTGGGTGGATCACGAGGTCAGGAGTTCGAGAACAGCCTGGCCAATATGGTGAAACCCAGTCTCTACTAAAAACACAAAAATTAGCTGGGCATGGTGGCACATGCCTGTAGTCCCAGATACTCGGAAGGCTGAGGCAGGAGAACTGCTTGAACCCAGGAGGCGGACGTTGCAGAGAGCTGAGATTGCAATACTGCACTCCAACCTGGACGACAGAGTGAGACTCTGTCTCAAAAAAAAAAAAACAAAAAAGTGATATCTCAATAAAGAACTTTGGAAGTTTTGTTCTAAAGTTGTTTTCATTTAAAAGCGCTGCTCACATTGGAAAATCTTCATCTTGCCATTCTTCTTTAAGTTCCACACCTTCCATCCTCAGCCTGGATTCAATGTCAGCTACAAACTCTTGATAATCCAGAGGGCCAATGTCCTATGAAGAGAGAAAAATGTATAACTTAATTTCCACTTTACTTTTTATCCAATGAAAAGGTGTAATAACTTTATATCTTAGTCCATACCTGATGCTTAGTATAGTAGTCTGGTCACGAAATTCATTTACCAGGTTGCAATTTTTTTTTTTAGTTAGAGGCTATTCAGACTATATGTACTCTGGTAAAGTACTGTTTACAGTAAGGATACTGTTCAGTCAAAATACTTGTTTTCAGTTGCATGTATAGTGTCTCAGGCTATGAATTAAAATATATTTCATACTATGGATTATATTAAAAATTTGAAGTTGGGTAAGAAATAAAAATGTTCTTCGCAGCACTTTGGGAGGCTGAGGCGGGTGGATCACAAGGTCAAGAGATCGAGATCATCCTGGTCAACATGGTGAAACCCCGTCTCTACTAAAAATACAAAAAATTAGCTGGACATGGTGGCACGTGCCTGTAATCCCAGCTACTCGGGAGGCTTAGGCAGGAGAATTGCCTGAACCCAGGAGGCGGAGGTTGCGGTGAGCCGAGATCATGCCATTGCACTCCAGCCTGGGTAACAAGAGCGAAACTCCGGCTCAAAAAACAAAAAACAAAAAAAATAAAAATGTTCTTTATTACAGATTCATAATAAAACTTTCTGTCCCTTGGATAGAAGTTGAATCTAGAGAGTAAACAACAGTAAATAAATAATACTTAAACTCATGACTCGGCAGCGTTAAGTAGTATGCTTTTATATTTTCTTCTCAACAGTTTGATGCCACAATTCCTGAGCTACCTTAGGAACCAGTAAATAACTATGCTATCTTTTGATTTCTTTCACAGCTACACCATGCCTTTCTCATATAGCTTCACATACATTTTCAAACACTAAACTTGGTCAATGTCTTTGTTTATGCAACTATGTATTTTAACATATGATGTGAACTTTGGTCTCAAGTTTTTCCAAGGAAGGATGTGAGTGCCAGTGTCCTCATTTTAAAAGTGAGAAATCTAGAGATATTCCCTCTGGTGATGGAGAAAGAAACAGAAGTTTAGGTATGGTAAAGATCGACTGGTCAACAACGCAATGAAACAGCACAAACCGTAGAAGAGGTATCAGTGCGTGTTTAGTTCATTTACATTAAAGTCAACAGACATCTAAAGTTATTCAAAAACCAGCACTAACAAATATATATAGACATTTGGCAGTAATATGTTTCTTAAGAGATACAGAGCCTCACTAGCAGTACTAAAAATAAAGTTTAAAGCGGGTGACACCAGGCCGGGCACGGTGACTCACACCTGTAATCCTAGCACTTTGGGAGGTCGAAGTGGGTGAATCACTTGAGGTCAGGAGTTGATAACCAGTTGAAACCCCGTCTCTAAAAAAGCAGGGCATAGTGGCGGGCACCTGTAATCCCAGCTACTCGGGAGACTGAGGCAGGATAATCACTTGAACCTGGGAGGTGGAGGTTGCAGTGAGCCGAGTTCGTGCCATTGCACTCAAGCCTGGGTGACAGAGCGAGACTGCATCCAAAAAAAAAAAAAAAGCTGCCATGGTGGCTTATGCCTGTAATCCCAGCACTCTGGGAGGCCGAGGTGGGCGGATCAAAAGGCCAGGACTTTGAGACCAGCCTGACCAACATGGTGAAAAGTCATCTAAAAATCAAAAAATTAGCCAGGTGTAGTGGTGTGAAGCTACAATCCCAGCTACTCAGAAGGCTGAGATAGGATGATCGCTTGAACCTAGGAGGTGGAGGTTGCAGTGAGCTGAGACAGTGCCACTGCACTCCACTGTGGGCAACAGAGACTCAGTCTCAAAGAAAAGTGGTTGACGCCAGTAGAAGATGAAAGAGGGCGAAATGGACAAAATGACTAACGCTTTTCATCGTACTGAGTCCTTCTACACCATTTGATTTTTAAAACTATACTATATATGACTTTAAAAGGTATTTATTAAACGAAATCAATTATGCCAGCCATTTACATCAACCAGTCTTCTAGAAGAAAAATGTCATCATGTCCTGTAGCTGCCCTATCTGCTACATCATTACAACATTCTAAAGATGCACAAAGTTACACAGAAAAAAGCCTTATGCTCTGGAACAACAAAATTAAAACGGAAATGTCCTCAAGTGTTAGATTTCACAAGGTAAACTAAATTTGTATCTCTGCCAAGGCTGGAAGGCTCTCTGCCTTGTTTGATTTTTTACTTACACTCAAGAGAAGGTTTTAAACATTCCCAAAAAGTTTCAATTTTTGTTGATACACTTGTGGGCACAGAAAAAAAACGGTAGATGCTGCCTTTTCCACACCAACTTATTTGCTTTAAAAACTCATTGATATATTTGTAAGGTTTTTAATTCTCTGGGAAAACAAGGATCCAGGCAATTTTGATAAATTAATGAGAAACATTTGAAATACAATAATCTTGACTTATTTAGCACTTTCAGTTTCTAATATGTCACATACACTGTTAAGTAATTAAGACACATCTTCAGTAATGTCTTTATATATATATATTGCTTTCTGATAGCAACCTTTCCTCTCTGAGGGACAAATAAGCAAAAAAAGGGACACCAACCTTACCAAACCCTCGCCTCTGTTTCCAACAGAAATAGAAAGGAGCCCACTATTACAATCAACAAGCACAAATGGTGAAAATACTTATTACTCTAGAATTACAATGATCAAGTGAGACCAGAGCATTCTGCCACTGAAGGCTGAAAACTGACGCTCTCTTCTAGATGTTTAACTTACTGATTTCCCAACGTTACGTTTTCTTAAGACCTTGGTACTCACTCTAAAGTGAACGATGCATTTTCCTAAATTCAATAATCAGAAAAGCTCTCTCTTATCTCGATGCACCTTTTTATTGAGTGTTGAAAAAAATACCAGCATGTTCTCTGGGTGTCTTTTTCTTTTTTTTTTTCCTTTTAGCACACAGAAAATGATTGGGTTCCAAAGCATCTGGGTGTCTTTTTCAAAGATCTCAAATACTCAGAAAAATATTAAGCATTTCGAAAGTAAAAGCAGAGACTGAAAGTTGCAACCTATGTATTCCCAACACCTACCACAGTGCCTAGCACATAATAGGCCTATAAAATTTGGTTAAATGAATAATATCTGTAGGGTATGACACTGGTCAGCAAACCTTTGCTCAATCTCTTAGGCTTACTTTGCTTATTAAACTACATGAGTAGGATTTGTCCCTTGTTACCCTGCAAAAATGTAACAAAAATATTCTGTGGGAACCTACACCTCTGCAATAATAATTTCTGTTGGTAAAATTTTCCTCACTGGTAAGAGGAAAGGTTTATCTTGGGAAATTCCAGAAGACAAACCGTGCCTTTCAGCTGCTTAACCACTTGAACACGTTTATCTCTGAAAATAGCTCCTTGGGGCCAGGCACGTGGCTCATGCCTGTAATCCAAGCACTTTGGGAGGCTGAGGTGGGCGGATCACCTGAGGTCAGGAGTATGAGACCAGCCTGACCAACATGGTGAAACCCCATTCCCATGAAAAATACAAAAATCAGCAGGGCGTGGTGGAGAACGCCTGTAATCCCAGCTACTAGGGAGGCTGAGGTAGGAGAATCACTTGAACATGGGAGGTGGTGGTTGCAGTGAGCTGAGATTGTACCACTGCACTCCAGCCTGGGTGACAGAGATTCTGCCTCAAAAAAAAAGAAAAAAGCTTCTCAAAACACAGAAAGCCCAAGTCTTTCAGCTATCTCACCCTATTTATTCCATTTTTACCTTAATATCCTATTGAATCATGTGTTAATACCTCAGTATACAGACACAGGTATTGAGTTTAAGGATAATTAATTAATCTAGTTAAATGGAACTTGGGGAGAGATATAAATAGATTTATTCCACCATTTCATCACAAATTTTAGGGGACGGTACACTAGGTAGACGAAAACAATTTAAACAATTGAGGGAATACTGTTCTTGGAAGCACGTTATTATCAAGCAGCTGTTAAGAACAGGAAACATATAAGAAAGGAGTTAATATAACCACAACCACTTTGAAGGAGATCAGGATACCGCTGACTCACAAGTTAACTGTGGTTGCTTCCCATTTCTTATTCATATAGTTAATTTTTTAGCAAATTAGAATGGGAAATAACACTTTCAGATGATGTTTGTTAAAATAACCCGTTGCAACAAGAATAACTTAATTTCTCAATGGACTGACTCTTGGTAGTGGTGGGACATCCTTACTTATGCCACTTACCTGTGGCAGTCAAAGATAAATTCAGAATAGTGGATCTGAGGTTAAAAAAAAAATCAAAGAGATAATGGATTCCTTCTGATGTAGCTTCAAGGGGAGCAGAACTGGTAAACTCAACCAGGATAAAAAAACCTTCCCCAGGCAGTTTAGCAACATATGCAAAAATTAAATGTTAAGATGATTGAGGCCAGGCTCAGCGGCTCACTCCTGTAATCCTAACACCTTGGGAGGACGAGGTGGGAGATGGTTTAAGCCTGGAAGTTCGGGCCTACCTTAGGCAATATAGTGAGATCTGTCTCTACAATTTTTTTTTTAAGGTCACATTAGAACTGTTTAGATCGTAACACAATTTTACACAATAATTTTGCTATATGCAGTTTAACAGTGCTGCTCCAATACGTGCCAGAAACGACTATTTATGCTGAAATCAATTACAGTGGCAGATGGAAATGCCCAGGCAAGTCTTTCACTTCCCCATTTAAACAAAATGGTTTCATTCTAAACATTTCTGTTCACTTTTTAACGAACAGCCTGTACATTTAGGCGATCACCAAACATCCTTAGAAAAATCCTATATACTTGCTTGTCATTGCTTCCATGAGGGGAGGGGTATATCGTTTTTAAACAATAAAATAAGATGCTCTATCAGAAATGTTAACACAAGCCAGGCACGGTGGCTCACGCCTGTAATCCCAACACTTTGGGAGGCTGAGGTGGACCGATCACCTGAGGTCAGGCGTTTGAGTCCAGCCTGGCCAACATGGAGAAACCCCATCTCTACTAAAAATACAAAAATTGGTCAAGCATGGTGGTGCCTGCCTGTAATCTTGAGGCAGGAGAATCGCTTGAACCCAGGAGACAGAGGTTACAGGGAGCAGAGATCGAGTCACTGCACTCCAGCCTGGGTGACAGAGCAAGACTGCATCTCAAAAAATAAATAAATAAATAAATAAATAAATAAAATAAACGTTAACAAAAATGTAAGAGGAAAAACTAGAGTGGCGATGACTTCTCTCAAAATGGTGAAAATAAAGCAAAAGACGATGGTGCTGCCTACGAAAGTGACCTTTACTGAATTATCATTGCAGAACATACAGAAAATGCTGAGACCTTAGTTTGCTGTAGTCAGAAAAATTAATTGTAACATAAAACTATAATCGTGGAATATTACTATCATCGTATTACACTAGTATTTTGCTTCATAGCATGTGAACACAACGTGGCATTTCTTTTTTCCACCAGAGTGGCGGCTCGGGGACACACACAGTCTCACTTTGTAGCCCACGCTGAACCAGTCTGGAGTGCAGTGCTGCAATGTCAGCTCACTGCAACTTCTGCCTCCCAGGTTCAAGTGATTGCTGTGCCAGTCTCTCCAGTGGCTGGGATTACAGGGATGTACCACCAGGCCCGGCTAATTTTTGTATTTTTGGTAGAGATGGGGTTTCACCATGTTGGCCAGGCTGGTCTCGAACGCCCGACCTCCGGTGATCCGCTGTCTTGGCCGCCCAAAGTAACAAGACATCTTTGATCCTACCAGCCAACTTTGACTTCCTGGATCTGGTTACACATGCTTTCTCCGACACCCTTCTCCCTATTGTTCCTTCTACCAGCATTACTCCAGATCGAACAGAATTTTTCCAGAGTGCTTTTCACATTTACTAACCCCTTTGATATCCATCATCTCATGTTCCAACCAGTCACTTTGCGATGCATGACACTTGTGTTATCTTCAGTTTATCTTACATGTGAGGGACCACATCCTGGTCCACCTACCTAGTCCAGAACTGCCTCTAATACAGCGCACCGTCTGCAATGCATTGGCAGCTGCATACAGAATAAGCCCGTAGTGCCCGATTTGGTGGCACTTAGCTTCAAAGATCTTGTAATGCCTGAAGACCATAATAGCACTGACTTATGATAATCCAGTTCAAGTTCCGTTTGCAGAAATCGATCTGTCATACTTCCTGTCTAAGCCCAACTATGTTAGGCTGCACTACAGATTATGAAGACCAGGAATAGAGTTTAGAGAAACCGAAAAATAACAAGAACTAAGACGAGTATGTGCAAAATGATCAAGAAACTAGTGTGCAAGGGTAACTTAATTGGGTAACGTCGTCACTTGCAATTCTGAGGAAACATCCATTCACAAAGTACAGTATTTGTTTCTACATCTGCAGATATGCCAGTAAAATGTTAGAAAAATAACACATTTAACTGAAAATAAGAAATCAGGTATTAGGAGAGACAGAGATCCTAATCAAGAGAAAGTGAGAATGAAAAAAGCAACACTAAAATGCAATCAGATAATTCATTCGATGAAACAGGAGACTGTGCCTATCTTGATGAACACGGCAAAAGCTGTGCCCTCCAAGAGCTCACAGGATAGACAAGTAACTCTCCAGCGGCAAGAGATGCATCCAGAAATGCAAACCATTGTGCCAGGTATTTAAACAGAAAAGGTGGTGTCGGGATCCCAGCGGGGACTGGACGTTTGACGTACACACTCTAGATTTGGTTTAGCGCGCTCGGGAAGATCTATAAAGCCCGGATTTCTTACGCTGCTCCCGTGTCTATTCCCCGAGGTTACAAGGCGTACCAGAAGTCCAAGTTTCTTTGTTCTGCACCAGGGCGGACGCTGGTCATAAATACTGAACCATCGTGGCCCAGCCACTTCACCCACACCGGGGTAAAGGTGGGGGAGAGGGGGAGGCACAAGGTTCTATCCCGAGCACAACTACCAGAAACGGAAAAGGGGTGGGGTGGGGGCCCAACTGCCAAATACAAACAGGACCCGAGCCAAGGGCGGGGACCTACGCTGGGCGGGGATCCAGGAAGCACCTCCCGAGCAGGTTCTATGGCGCCCCCTACCACGGGTAACCTTCTGCGTTTCCTCTCCCCGGGCGTCTTGGGTAAGCGCCCGACAAACCTGCGCCCCTAGGCCGGTTCCAGACCGGCTCCGGAGCCACCGTGCCGAGTCCCCCCAGGCCGCACTCACCCCGGAGGAAGCCTTGGCCCCCTCGTCCTCCTCGCCCCTCCAGGCCGGCGACGTGGGGCTGACGGCCAGGTCGCAAAAAGCGGCGCCGAGCGGAGCCCGCTCCCCTCGGTCGGCGGTGGAGACCCCGGCCCAATCCCCCGGCCGCAGCGGCACAGCGGCGACGGCGGCAGCTGACCCGGAAGCAGTGAGAGATCCAGACGGAAGTGACGTCACTCCGACGTCCTCCGGGCGCGGCAGCGGAGGAGGCGGTGGCGGAGGCGTGGCGTCCCCTAGAAACCCACACAGCACCCCCCTGGCCCACTCAGACCGCCCGGGCTGTCGCTCGCGTCAGCCTTCCTCGCCTCTGGGCAGACCCGTCGCTTCGAGTCCTTATTGGTGGCGTTTACCGCGCCTCGAGGCGTTTCTTCTTTGTTGTGCGCTGGGACGCTGCCCTGTAGTCTCCGTCATTTTTGTTTTCTTTTTGCCTCTCTTTATGGAACATTACAGTAGGTGAAATTATCCCTATCAATATATTATAATGCAATAGGTGCAATTACCAATAGCAATTTTATAACAACAGGGGCAAGTGTCAGTATCATTACGATAGGTGCAATTATCAACGCTCAATAATAATGTGAACAATGTGAATTATAAAATGAATGAAATAAGGGGAGGAGGCCGGGCGAGGTGGCTCACGCCTGTAATCCCAGCACTTTAGGAGGCTGAGGCGGGTGGATCACCCTAGGTCAACAGTTCAAGACCAGGCCGGGCATAGTGGCTCACTTTGGAGGCCAAGGTGGGTGGATCACCTGAGGTTGGGAGTTCATAACCAGCCTGACCAACATGGTGACACCCCGTCTTAAAAAAAAAAAAAAAAAAAAAAAAGTTCAAGACCAGCCTGGACAACATGGTGAAACCTCACCTCTATTAAACATACAAAAATTATTGGGACGTGCTGGTGGACACCAATAATTCCAGTTACTCAGGAAGCTGAGGCAGGAGAATCACTTGAACCCAGGAGGCACAGTTTGCAGTGAGCGGAGATCATGCCATTGCACTCCAGCTGGGACAACAGACCAAAAACGCCATCTCAAAAAAAAAAAAAAAAAAAAAAAAGAGAAAGAAAAGAAAAGAAATAAGGGGAGGAAAAATATCCGAGACTTCATTTTGGGGAGCTAGGCCTCAGAAGCGTCCTTGGAGTTTGGTAATTTCGAGTGTGAACAGCTTTGCAGCAGTGCTTCTCTTTAATGTGGGGAATGATATATTAATTTTTAAAAATTTTCAATTAGTTGATAAAACAGACAAATGAAAAGACACACAAAGTCCAAATGTAAACTTTTTATCGTTAGGGTTAACATCCATAAAATTACCCGGAAAATTGCTATAGAGTTTTCTACTATCTCTCTGTAGTCTATTTACAAACAGTTCTCAGAAAAGCCCAGGTCTACAGACCATGGTCGGAGTACTCAAAGTAAACTATTCAAATCAGACCATACTCAGCTTCAACCAAACGAGATTTGTTTGGAGGACATCATAATCTCACTCTGCCGGCCACACTGGCTGATGCCTCCAATCCCAGCACTTTTGAGAGGCTGAGGCGGGTAGATTGCCTGAGTTCAGGAGTTCGAGACCAGCCAGGGCAACATGGTGAGACGCCATTTATACCAAAAAAGGACAGAGAGGCTGGGCGTGGTGGTTCACGCCTGCAATCCAAGCACTTTGGAGGCCAAGGTGGGCAGATCACCTGAGGTCAGGAGTTCAAGACCAGCCTGACCAACATGGTGAAACCCCGTCTTAAAGAGAGAGAGAGAGAGAGAGAGAGAGAGAAACTTAGGGGGGTGTGGTGGCATCTGTTGTTCCAGCTGCTTGGGAGGTTGAGGTGGGGATCGTAGGGAGGCGGCGGTTGTGGTGAGCTAAGATGGTGCCAATGCACTCCAGCCAGGGCTGGGTGACAGAGTGAGACCCTGTCTCAAAAAAAAAAAAAAAAAAAAAAAAATCCCTCTCCAAAGTTTCATCTGATAAATCCAGAGAAAGGCTCAGCAGTCAGGTATTTGGGTGATTCCATTACGGAACGGTCAGGCCTGAGGGAAACAGAAAAACTCAAAAATTTAAATCATGGACTTAAAATGCAGCACTCTGCCTGGATTTCACACTGCTCTGGCAAAATTTTCCCACCACTGGTAGATTAAACTCTGTCTCTTTGACAAAATGGGAAGGAAATAGTACCTACCGCATAAGGTTGTTTTTTGAGATGAAGTCATATATATGCATTAGGACCTTGCTCATCACAATCACATTTAAGTATTGGGAGTATTGGGTATTATTTTTATCCTATTCTAGCAATTTCACTAAAGAGCTGGTATACAAAACAAAACTGGTCAACAGTTTTAGCTAAACAACTTCTTGAGCCAAGAAATTTCATCTTGAGTTACATAATTTTTTTATAATTTTATATTTTCCTAATTCAGTCCTGCAATGTGCAGAATTCCCCACAAGGTGGCAGCAAATCATTAGAAATCATATACAGTTACGAGCTTTTTTTTTTTTTTAGGTCTTTAGTTCCTTCTTCATTTGAGTAACTTTACCATTTAATAAGCTTCATCAGTGTCTGCTTTGCTTTTGAGTAAGCCATCCTACTATGCCTTTTTATCCCAATCTCATTAATTATCCATACTTATTGTTGAAACATTACAAACTATAGGTAAGCCAAAAAGATCATCGTTATCAACATATTTATGTATAACATTTCAGATTATATAGATAGACACATATTATATGTATAAATTGCACATACAAGTCTTTACGAAAATCAGATGATATACTTAATGGTTTATAATCTCCATTTTTTCCTTTTCATTTAAAATATATTAGGGCTGGGTGCGGTGGCTCGCGCCTGTAATCCCTGCACTTGGGGAGGCTGAGGCAGGGGGATCACTTGATGTCAGGAGTGTGAGGCCAGTTTGGCCACGCCCTCCTTTACTAAAAGTACAGACATTAGCTGGGTGTGTTGGGCATCTGTAATCCCAGCTGCTGGTGGGAAAGGAGGCTGCGGCAGGAGAGTCACTTGAACCCAGGAGGTGGAGGCGGCAGTGAGCCAAGATTGCACTACTGCACTCCAGCCTGGGCGACAGAGTGAGACTGTCTGAAAAAAAAAGAAATAAAATTTGAAAATACAGATTCCCAGGCTTCATCTTCTACAGTCTAGGGAAAGACATGGGAATCTATTTATAAAAAAAACTAAAATATGTTATGAACTATTTTTCAAGTCAATAAATATATTCCAATGCTATTATTTTTGTTATGAATAATTTATTTATTGAACAATCCTTTACTGACCTTTTAGACTGTGGCTTTTTTTTTGAGACAGGGTCTCACTCTGTGGCCCAGGCTACAGTGCACTGGCATAGTCTCAGCTCACTGCAGCCTCTACTTTTTGGTTAAAATAATTCTCGTGCCTTAGCCTCCTGAGTACCTGGGATTAGAGGCAGGTGACACCACGTCCTGCTAAGTTTTGTATTTTTGGAGAGACAGGTTTTTGCCATGTTGCCCAGGCTTGTCTTGAACTCCTGGCCTCAAGTGATCTGCCCATCTGGGCCTCTCAAAGCGCTGGTATTACAAGTTTGAGCCACCACACCTGACCTTGTTCCGCTTTTTTTTTTTTTTTTTTTGAAATGGAGTCTTATTTTATTGCCCCTTCCCTGACCCCTGTAAGATCTTGGGGTTGGGTGGAGGGGTGCAGTGGAGTGCAGTGGTGTGATCTTGGCTCGCTGCAATCTCTGCCTCCTGGGTTGAAGCAATTCTCCTGCCTCCGTCTCCAAAGTAGCTGAGATTACAGGCGTGCATCAGCATGTCTGGCTAATTTTTGTGTTTTTAGAACAAATAGGGTTTCACCATGTTGGTCAGCCTGGTCCTAAACTCCTGACCTCAGGCGATCTGCCTGCCTTGTCCTCCCAGAGTGCTGGGCAAAACTTCTTAGAGTGTTCAAAAAGTCAGAAACATAGGACTAATTTATTTTCAAACAATGTATTAGTAACATTTTGAAATAATATTGCTCAATATATTTTCCTTTGACTTCCACATACTGTCTCAGGTAAGTGTCTCTAAGGCAATATATCCAATTGTTAATCCAAAATATGATATTAAAAATACACTGTAGGCTGAGTGTGGTGGCTCACGCCTGTAGTCCCAGCACTTTGGGAGGCCAAGGTGGGTGGATCCCTTGAGGTTGGTCAGGAGTTCAGACCAGCCTGGCCAACATGGTAAAACCCCACTTCTACTAAAAATATAAACAATTTATTTGGGTGTGGTGGTGCACATCTGTAACCCCGGCTACTCAGGAGGCTGAGGCAGGAGAATCCCCTAAACCTGGGAAATGTAGGTTCGGTGAGCCGTGATTGCACCATGGCACTCCAGCCTGGACGATAGAGCGAGACTCTGTCTCAAAAAACAAGCTAGCAAACAAACAAACCACTGTATTTCCGGTGTCACCAGACATTTTGGACAAGACTTAAGGTACTTTTACAATTACTTGTTTCCTTGAATAGGCAGACATTTAAGCTCTTAAAAATTGGGAAAAATTCAGTGGGGGGAAAAAAAGTGTGGCTTCCAGCCCTACACCCTATATAGAAGGTACCACTTGGAAAGTGATAGATGAGCTCAGAGCCATGATCAGCCAGTTCCTCTGTAGTTTCTGGGTTCGGTGTTGTGTTTAAGTACGCGTTCCTCACACCAAAATTATACAGCCGCTGTTGTTTTCTTCTGGTGGTTTTATAGTTTCTTTTTTTTTAACATATGAATATTAAATCCAATTGGAATTTTATGTATGTGCTTACAATATGAATAGGGAATCTAACTTTACTAAACTGACTAGCTTGCCTAAAAGCATTTATTGAATAACTCAGTAATTCTTGGACTCAACTAGGACTCAGTCAAATGAATGTTTACTTTCAAAGTTGTCATTTTAGATTCCTCACTTCGTTCAAGTATTCATTCATTTGATATATCTTTATTTACTTATTTATTTATTTAGAAATGGGTTCTTGCTATGTTACCTAGGCCAGTCTCGAACTCCTGGCCTCAAGCAATCCTCCTCTCAAGCATTCCTCCTGCCTCAGCCAGTAAAAATGCTCTGCCATGCCCAATAAACAGAGAGAGATATATGGTTTTCTTTTTTTTTTTTTTGAGACAGGGTTTCACTCTACAGTCTAGGCTGGGATGCAGTGGCAAGATCTTGGCTCACTGCAATCTCTATCTTCCAGATTTGTGCCTCAACCATCCGAATAGCAGGACTATAGGCGTGTGCCACCACACCTGGATCTTTTTTTTCCTTTTTAAAAGACAGGGTTTCGCCATCTTGGCCATGCTGGTCTTGGACTCTTGACCTCAAGTCATCTGCCTGCCTTAGCCTCCCAAAGTGCTGGGAGTACAGGTGGGAGCCACCCCACCTGGGCAATAAATCTTTGTTGAACAATATTATAAATCAATGCTCTTGGTCCCCGAGGATACTCTCAGACCTCCAAGTCCAAACCTGGCCATTATAGCCTTGGTAGCCTGCATGTGCACCTCCTGATGGTCTCCAGGAGCCAGAAAGTCTGAAGTAACTAGATGGCCACAAAGAGAAGTGAAACAACTAGCTCCCCCCCTGCAACATTCCACCATTGTTCCGGCTCAGCCTTGTGAAACTTCCCCTCTAGACATAGGTTTCTCAAGACCCCCACCCCTGTAACCATGTAATTTACCGTACCCTTCCCTCTGCTTGCAACCAATAACTCCCACCCTTATGACCATGCCTGTTTGTAATAGGTAACCCCTACCCTTGTGACTATGCATCTTGTGACGCCCTTCCCCTCCCTAAAATAGATAACCAGCCTTAACTGACCATTTGCCCCAACCCACATAGCCAGTCCCCATTCCCACACCCACTGCCTAACTCCTTTCTTGGGCTTGGCCGGCTTGCACCCAATCTCCGTATAAAATGGCCTCATTGCCCACACAAAGCCTACCTGCTGGTCTGGCTACACGAGCAATGTGCCTAACAGGATAAGTTCTCCTAAGAGGACACACTTTGAGGAAGGCAGCAGTCATTTGAATATATGCTTCAATGTGTGTTGAAAGTATTTATGATACATTGTCACGCTTCATACACCAAAATAAAAGTGCTCAGCCAACATGGACTTGAAGACGTGCTGAGCCTGTGCCAAGAGGGGTGGGGAGTGCAGAAAGACCACAGGCAAGGACATGAGGGCTAGAGGGGGAGGCGGAAGGCACCATCTGACCTGTGCTAGCAGGAAGTGATGTATCAGACTCTGATGAGAACAGGCCCTATGACAACTTCTTGAAAAAATGATAACAGTGTTCAGGGTGAGCATGTAAAGCCTGGGAATTACTAATCACTCCTCTGGTCCCCCACTCCCCAAATTTCCTCTTTCTTTGTTTGTAATTATTCTGTATTGGGATGCAGAAGCAAGGCGGAGTCTTGCTCTGTTGCCCAGGCTGGAGTGCAGTGGCATGATCTTGGCTCACCACAACTTTTGCCTCCTGGGTTCAAGCGATTCTCCTGCCTCAGCCTCCTGAGTAGCTGGGATTACAGGTGCTCACCACCATGCCCAGCTAATGTTTGTATTTTTAGTAGAGATGGGATTTCATCATGTTGGTCGGGCTGGACTCGATCTCCACCCACCTCGGCCTCACAAAGTGCTGGGATTACAGGCGTGACTGTATCCAATGCGCCTGCCTGGATACATTTTATACGATTCCCTTCTCCCTCTGGCCCACTCTGCCACGGAAGTGTGAGAGTCTTGCTAAGTCCTGCTCCACACACAGATTCTTGGGGAGCTTTTTTTCTGCCTCCTTCTGCTTTGCTATTCCATTGCCAGTCCTTCCTCCTTTCATCAAACCAGCCTCACAGCATCTCCCAGAAGATGGAGGATTTGGGGTATGCTATTGGACTAAGCTATTGGGGTATGCTATTGGACTAAGCTATTGGGGTATGCTATTGGACTAAGCTATTGGGGTATGCTATTGGACTAAGAGGGCATTACTTTGGACTAAGAGGGCATGTTGTACTCCTTCAAATCATTTTTGTAAATAATGAAAAGCATCTCCTCTCACAGTCTTCCTCCAAATGTGTCTTATAATTCCTACCTTACAGATGGCAAAATCAAGGTATCTATTAGAATGGGAAAATTCCTCACACAGTGCTGCCATCCCATGTGACACTTTTCTGCAGATTAGCCAAGGAATCCCTTCTGGGTAATGGGGAAGCCTTCAGAATGGGCTGAGCCCTTCTGGTTTTGCTCACCAACCCTGCCCCAGGGAGCTGATAAAGTTCCTTGGTGTCTTGAGCTGATAAAGCTCCATAGGCATCTTTGTGCAAATCTAAAGATAGCCTTCCCAGCTGGGCAGAAAAGCCTTGCTCCAGAGCATGTGGCTTGATAAATGGAGTGCTCCCTCAGGTGAGTGCTGTGTGCAGGGCACAACCTGCTCAACTGGGCAGACTGGCCTAGTTCTCCACCGAAGTCTTGGAGCCGCATGTAATTATTTTTCCTATAATAAGAAGACTTCCTTTTTTTTTTTGAGATGGAGTTTCGCTCTTGTTACTCAGGCTGGAGTGCAATGGCGCAATCTCGGCTCACCGCAACCTCCGCCTCCTGGGTTCAGGCAATTCTCCTGCCTCAGCCTCCCGAGTAGCTGGGATTACAGGCACGCACCACCGTGCCCAGCTAATTTTTTGTATTTTTAGTAGAGACGGGGTTTCACCATGTTGACCAGGATGGTCCCGATCTGCTGACCTCGTGATCCACCCGCCTCGGCCTCCCAAGTGCTGGGATTACAGGTGTGAGCCACCGTGCCTGGCCGTAGATTTCACTTTTTCTTCTGTTCTCCAGGATATGAAATGTTAGTAACACTATGGTCATCTATATTTAGAAAAATGAATAAGCAATAGCCTCCAATTAGAAAAAAGCAGTTTGTTTGATTCACTGACAATTTTTTCAGTGATATTTCCTAAATTCCTTTTGGGGTGGGCAAGTAGAAGTGAGAACTGATGAAAGCTAACTGTTTTCAGGTCAATTTCAGTCTCCTCATCCACATTAACACAAAATATGACATGACACTGTTGTTCATCAAAGCATTAATCATTTATTCTGCATCTTTAGAGTCAAAGCATCTTATTTGTTTAGAGAAAACAAATGCATTTCAAAATACACAAGTAATTGTTGGGTCAACTGGAAATTTTATTATATTTAACAAAACAAAGCACTAATACAGCTGTATTGAGACACACACATTTTTATATAATACAAACATGAAAATTAAAAGGTGGCATCATCTAATTCACTGTTGCAATGGGTAATATTGTTCTACAAGTGTATTTCCAAAAATAATTAGTTTCATTCTAAAAGTAACTTACTGAGCTGAGAGAATCTAGGTGATTATTTGCATTTGAAAACATGGGAACTCTGTAAATTGATAAAAATGTATGAACTTACTTTTCAAAATGAATTTCATCACAATGAGAAGAAAACATTAAAATTGTAACATTATTTCTCATTTATATGGTTCCCTAATGATAAAGAAGGAGAAACACCTTCTCCTGATACAATTGCTAAACCACCAAATTATACTTACTAGGAAAAAGAAGAAAGCTTTCCAACTTCAGGTATATACGTAATAGGGAGAAATGAAATGAGAAGTTTAGTGTGAATTATCATCTTTAAAAGATCCTTAATCTCTAACATGTAGATTTTCTTTACTCATTTCTTAGCAGATTACTCATTTAATATGAATGATTTTAAGACACACACACACACACACACACGAATGAGATGCCATTCCATCTAACAATGTCTTACCCAGGCACTATTTACAAAATTGTATGTAATATGCCTTGTGTGTATTTGAGGTACGGGGGCCGGATTTGAATCAGTAAGATGACTAATGGCTGAAATTACATTATTAGTCTTTCCTTAACTAGCTTATGACACTGATTCATGTTAAAAGTAGATTCTTTTTCATAGAAGGGCTTAACACATAAACCTTATGCTAAAATGGAAGGTATGAGAACTTGGTTGGGGTTAGAAGGAGTATTTTAGTCCTTATTTTTCTGCAATCTCTGTGATCTTGGGCAAGTTACCTAGTTTCCCCTGACATTCTGCTTCCTTTTCAGTAATTTTTGACATACCTAAGACTCACTTTATCTAATTTAGCATTTTGCCTAAAGCTCGGATAATTATTTCCTTAAATTTTAGAAATTCACCAAAATGTGATGTGGGTATTTAAGTACAAGCATCTGAAAATTATATTTTACATATCTATATTCTGTGTTTTCAAAAAAACGGCATAGCACAAGAAAGACCATCCAAACACACACATAATTCCACGCTAGGTAAGAGGAAAGACACTTTAAAAATCTGAGTATTTACAAGGTATGTTGGCATTTACAGGTTTCAGGTTTGCACAGTACAGGTGATAGAGCCCTGAACTCAGAATCAGCCAATTTTCTTTAAAATTTCAGTTCGAGCATTAAATCTATAGATCCTCCTACCCCTGCTCCCTCCCACATAATTCCTATCTACCTTATCTAAGACTAGAAACCAGGCAACAGTATATGAAGAAACAGATGACAGTTTCAGGCTTTGCCTTGAAGTGATAATTTTTAAAGCTCATTCCGAAAACGTGGAATTTCTTCAAAGTTTCATCGATCAGGCTGCCTCTTTTTTTTTTTTTTAGACGGATTCTCACTTTGTCGCCCAGGCTGGAGTGCAATGGTGTGATCTCTGCTCACTGCAGCCTCTGCCTCCTGGGTTCAAGCAACTCTCCTACCTCAGTCTCCTCAGTACCTGGGACTACAGGCACGTTCCACCATGCCTGGCTAATTTTTATATATTTAATAGAGATGGAGTTTCACCATGTTGTCCAGGCTGGTCGGTCTCTGACTAGTTGCCTCCAGCGATCTGCCCACCTCAGCCTCCTGAAATGCTGGAATTACAGGCGTGAACCACCTCGCCGGGCCAAGACTGCCTCTTCTTGCAAGAGTTTTTGTAAGAGTTCCTTATCCAACCTGGAGGACACATGCTGAAACTTACTCTTTCTTTTTTTTCCATTTTAATAATTCTTTTTTGTGTTTTGACTGTTAAAAAAAAAACATTTCCTAGCAAATATTTCTTGGCTCAGCTATATATAAGGTATTAATAAAATTATATATAAAAAAATGTGTATACTTTTAGGTTCTTCTAGGTAGGGTACAATATATTTCCAAAGGTGTCCTAGGGGCCTCTTAAATAAGGAATCTTTTTGTTACACTAATAAATCTATTCAAAATGAAGCTTCCTATTTCTATTTATTTATTTTTTAAGTCACAGGTTGTGGTCTTCACTGCCCATCTTCTCCCACACCCTTATAAATTGGTTTGGTATTTCATTTTTAATCTGGAAAAGAATAATTCATTTTTATCTTCATTTAATTTTAATAGTCAAGGAGTAGCCTATAAAGATTGAATAAATTTAATCCTTCTGCAATTAGTGTCAAGTTAATTCATTCTGGATGTGAATAACTGAAGACATACAGACCCTCCCACACACTGACAGACACCTTCATCAGGTTTAATGTTTTATGTAAATGATCCTACTTGAAAGGAAGTTGTCTTGTTTCTCCCGCCTCCCTTTCTGTCCTTGTTAATTGTTTATAAACCTAAACCTTCTCTTAGCATTTTCTCAGGACTGTAGCACCATTTACTGGATCAGCTGTGTTGATCCCATAAAGATAACACATTTTGCCGCTGATTTGACTTCTTTGCACAGAGAAATTCGATTTCCACCCCCTCCATAAAAGTTCACAACCATGCAACGTCCGCCGGTTGCTCCAGGAAGGAGGATATGAGCAGACCTCCTAAGGGTTAAAATGATCTGGGTATGTCTCGTGTGCAGCAAGCACACAGGATTATTTTAAGTAGCCCTTTGTCTCACACAACATGGTCCATCTGGATCATCCCCGATGTTATCAACCCAGAGACGACTTTCTGAGCCGGACTATTTTCCCTCCTATGGCGAAGCCAAGATACAAAAATCTATCAAGCAGGCCAACGTCTAAAACATTTAAAATATGCTTTCTTCTTTCTTTCCATGAAAATCAACACTTGAGGTTATATAACTGGTGTTCATATAGGTGTTAAAATGAATCAGCTTACTACATAAGGAATATAACAATCTAACATACTTCTTTTAATATCAGTACAGCTATAAAGGCATGCTGGCCACTACTAACATGACTCATCAAAATTTTTTTAAAGGATAATTTACTTACCTCTTGTCAAGTCACTGTTTAATGCTACTTCCTACATTTGCTGTGATAAGCATTAAAATCTGTATATTGGTTGATAAATCATTGTTTAGGAGTGTCTAAAGGGTTCCGTAAATGGTATGAAATTGCCATGGTGTAGTAAATGGTTATTTGATAATGAATGAAATTGTTTGAAAATACTGTTAAAATGTCAAGTTTAAACATATAGATCATTACTCAAAAGGAAGGCAAACATGGAAACCACAGTGACATCATAAATATACTCCAATAAACACATTTATCTATACTAGGCAAGTTGTAGGTACTTTGTATAAATGTGTACAAATTGATATATGAAGTTAATTTCAATCCGTAAAAGTAATTGCATTGGTTTAACTTATTTAACTCTCCTTACAATAATATTTATTTCAGAAAAAGAAGGTAAAGAAATAAATGATGATAAATAGATAAAATACATAGGAAATGTGAATTGTTTTACAATTTAATTACACTGTCACATAAAATTATCACATAAATACACCAATCCGACAGCAGAAATACATTAAAACCCTATTATCTAATGTAGGGAATGGTTTTTTTGTTGGCCTTTATTTCATTTACACATTTAAGATGATTTTATTTTTTTTCTACCAGCATGAAATGTCTAAACAGTGTCAAAAGCAAAAAGATTAAAGAACAAAACTATTTTCTAAAAATACGTTCTGCTTTTTGCAATGCTGTGAAGTCTGACACGCAATCTAAGAAAAGGGCAGCAACCCCGATCCCTCAGGACGGGTGTACCAAAGAAATGTAAACTCAGGACCTCACAATACAAAGTGAAGTTAATTGGTTTGTTAGACTTGTGCAGAGCTCCTAAGATGTGCAAATAACGTTGCAGCTGTGCATCTTAAATGATAGAACATTTCATTTTGGGATAAATAAATATATAATGCAAAGATTTGTTGGTTTTACAAAGTCAACTAACATTTATTTCCTTTTAAATACTTTTTTTTTTTTTAAATACAGGGTTTGACCATATTGGTCAGGCTGGTCTTGAATTCCTGACCTCAGGTGATCCACCCTCCTTGGCCTCCAAAGTGCTTGGATTACAGGCATGAGCCACCACGCCCGGCCACATTTATTTCCTAATATGTATGAGGCATATGCTAGGTGCTGTAGGTGTTACTTAGGCTGTGTCCTGAAGGGGCTGATTATCTAACAGGATTATCTAATGGGAGATGAGACGTGTTCATAAGAAATAAGGCATTTATGTCAGGTGTGGCTATTTATTTATTGATCTATATATATATTGAGTTATTTTGCTCCAACTTTTAAAATTATAGGTTGAGACCAGAGTACAGTGTCACACACCTTCCTGTAAAATGTTTACAACCTGGAATTAATTTCTGTGTTATTTAATAATCCTCAAAATATTGTAACACACTGAATAATATCTATACTAGCAACAGATTTAGGTTATTAGAGCAAGGATATATTTTCGTTTTTGAGACAGAGTTTTGCTCTTGTTACCCAGGCTGGAGTGCAATGGCACGATCTCGGCTCACTGCAACCTCCGCCTCCTGGGTTCAGGCAATTCTCCTGCCTCAGCCTCCTGAGTAGCTGGGATTACAGGCACGCGCCACCACGCCCAGCTAATTTTTTGCATTTTTAGTAGAGACGGGGTTTCACCATGTTGACCAGGATGGTCTCGATATCTTGACCTCGTGATCCACCGGCCTCGGCCTCCCAAAATGCTGGATTACAGGCTTGAGCCACCGCGCCTGGCCGAGCAAGGATATTTTTCTTCATTCTATAATGGAAAACGGAAAATTCAGTTTGAGAAAAATGAACATGATAATGAAAATAAACTAGTCAAAGGGAAAAATTCATTGAAGAGATGGGTGAGAACTGAAAATCATAGGAGTGAAAAAAGGTTTAACACAATTAATAATATGAAGTGATTAAAAATAGATGCAATTTATGTGTCAAATATTTAACCATGGACAATAAACTCACTTTTTAGATAATTTTCAGTCTTTATGAAATAAAGTCGTATTTATTTCTCATTTTTATCAATACCTACTCAAACTGAAGGCAAATGTCTAGCTCTTTTACAGTGTAAAGGTTAAAAAAGGTGTCATAAACACTCACAATGGCTGGAACATAATGAATTGGGGGGGGAGTGGGGGGGAGGGAGAGAAAGAGAGAGAGAGAGAGAGAGAGGGAGAGAGGGAGAGAGAGGAGAGAGAGAGAGAGAGAGGAGAGAGAGAGAGAGAGAGAGAGAGAGAGAGAGAGAGAGAGAGAGAGAGAGAGAGAGAGGGAGAGGAAGAAGGGAGAGAGAGAGAGGAAGAAGGGAGAGAGAGAGAGAGAGAGAGAGAGAATATCCCTATGCTGCCGGGCCCACAACAGAGTCCCTTCCTCCCAGAGCTTTTCTCAGGCTATCTGAACAAAGGAGCACACCTAGAATTTCACCTAGCCTGCCGGAAAAAGTTAGACAAAAAAACTTTAGGTTCCTGGATGGGGGCGCGGATGGAGGCTTGGCACTGGGAAGTTCTTGCTTTTGAAACCACGCCCTTTGTGGACTCAGTTTTCCTTAACACGGTCCCTCAAATTCACATTGTTTCAAATTAAAAAACAATGAGATAAGAATAAAGTCAATTTTAGTATGTACTTCCGTTTTTATTGCTGTTAACAGATAATTTTTTTTTTGAGACGGAGTTTCGCTCTTGTTACCCAGGCTGGAGTGCAATGGCGTGATCTCGGCTCACCGCAACCTCCACCTCCTGGGTTCAGGCAATTCTCCTGCCTCAACCTCCTGAGCAGCTGGGATTACAGGCACACGCCACCGTGCCCAGCTAATTTTTTGTAATTTTTAGTAGAGACAGGGTTTCACCATGTTGACCAGGATGGTCTCGATCTCTTGACCTCATGATCCACCCGCCTCGGCCTCCCAAAGTGCTGGGATTACAGGCGTGAGCCACCGCGCCCGGCTGTTAACAGATAATTTTTAAGAAGTTCTGTTTAATGGTAAGATGAATGTAAACATAATTCCCATCAGACAGGACGCTACATCTGATGTTTCTTAATAGCATGATATACGGTAACTAAGTGTGTCTTAAATCTTAAGGGCTTTTTGGCTCATTTTGACTTCAACTGGTGAATTCATTTGTAAAAGAAAAAAGTAGACATTGAAATAGGTAAAATACAATAATAAAGGTAATTCAGACACGACAATGGAAAATGGAGATGCTTAAAAAGAACATTTAGAGTATCAGATATTGATGAGAGTAGAACCATGAAATGTTATTTCTAGAATGGCTTTCACATACCTATAAATTAAATAAATTGACTCACTTCTGAGCGTTAGGGTCTTCAAAATGATATGTATATGCTGAAAATATGATCCTTTTTATTGCCTATTGCTACAGAAAGGGTCATAACTAATTCCAACCATTATTAGAATTTAGAAGACATCATTTATTATACTTCAGAATGGCTGGTTATATACAATCATTTTTAAGGAAAATATTGAATATAGGATGTAGTTAACTTTCAACATATTGAAAATCTTGTTCATTTAAAACTCAAATTTCTTTATTCTCAAAGGGAGCAGTGCTTAATCGTTAAAAAAAAAATGTGTACCCCTACCTTGAATTTAAAAGTAAAACTCAAGAAAGGCAAGCAATATAGTAATCCAGCATATACAAAATGCCATCATTTTAAAATAGAACTCTTTTGCCTTTAATTTCTATTTCCTCTCAGTATGAATGCCTTCAGGGACACTAGTACTACTCTTATTATTCTTTTGAGACCGAGTCTTGCTCTGTTGCCAGGCTGGAGTGCAATGGCGCGATCTTGGCTCACTGCAACCTCTGCCTCCTGGGTTCGAGCAATTCTCCTGCCTCAGCCTCCTGAGTAGCTGGGACTACAGGTGCGCCACCATGCCCAGCTAATTTTTGTATTTGTAGTAGGGACGGGGTTTCACCATGTTGGCCGGGACGGTCTCCATCTCTTCACCTCATGATCCGCCCGCCTTGGCCTCCCAAA